ATGTACTTTAATTTGATCAGAGATGGACAAAGAGAGAGAGAAAGAGAGAGAGAGAGAGAAAGTCAGAAGGCAAGCCACCAGGTCCAGGACTCAAACTGCAGTTGGCCATGTGGGAGTCCAGCACTCTTAACAACCATACTACCTGCTGGCCCCAAGTCATCTAATTTTTATAATGTTCCTGAAATATACATATGATGGCTTTGAAAGAAAATACGCTGCTATAAATTATTAAAAGGAAAATATATCCATATTGGTACATATTAGCTTAAACTTAAATGCATTGGGGGTATATAAATGATGATTAGAGTTGCATACCTTCATTCCATCGCTTTTTAGTTAAAATTCCTTCTGGCGCCAGCAGGTGGCGTGGTGATTAAGGGTGTTGGACTCCCACATGGCTGACCACTGTTTGAGTACCGAACCTGGTGGCTTGCTTGCTTCCTCTCCCTCTCTCTCTCTTTCTCCCCCTCTCCCTCTCTGGTCAAATTAAAATAAAATAAATAAAGTTAAATAAAATAATTGTTTTTAAAAGGTTTCTTCTAAGATGTACATGTGAATAAAATATTTTTAGTAAAATAATTTTTTAAAATTTTAATTAAATAATTCTTTTTTAAGAATAGGTTGAGTCCAGCAGATGGCGTAGCAGTTATGTCACTGAACTCCCACATGGCCGACCATGGTTCGAGTTTGAGTCCTGGATCTGGTGGCTTGAAATGCATGCCAGGTGCATGTGAGTGCATGACCAAGACCCCAGGAGGAGAATGGAGAAGGGCTTTTGGCATGGCCATCCCCTATGGTGGGGGTGACTTCTCACTTTCCCTCTCACTGTGTCTCTCTCTCCTGGTGCACACATGCTCTATGGTAAAAACCTCTTAAAAATAAAAAGTCAGGGACCAGAAGGTGGTGTGGTGGCTAAGGTGCTGGACACTCCCACATGGCTGCCCACAGTTTGAGTTCCAGACCTGGTGGCTTGCTTTCTCACTTTCTCTCTCCCTCTCTGGTCAACTTAAAATAAATGAATTTATAAATAAAATTAAGTAAATAATTCTTAAAAGAAGGTCATTGCCTCCTGATTAAGATGCTCTAATTAGACACATCAGCTATGCAGTATTCTGCCAGAACTGTATAAATCCAATCTAATCATGAGAAAATATTTTTAAAAAGTCAGGTCAAGATGGGCCAGCATGTGGTGTGATTGTTAAGGGTGCTGGACTCCCACATGGCTGACTGTGGTTCAGGATCTGGACCTGGTGGCTTGCTTTCTTATTTCTTCTCTCTCTCACTCACTCTGTTTCTCTCTGGTCAAATTGAAATAAATGGATAAATAAAGTTAAATAAAATAATTCTTTAATAAAAAAGTCAGATCAAGGGAAATTTTACAACATAATTGATCTGTACTCATAAAAATGTACAGAGCAAGGACCTGTGGAGTCAGAATGTCTATGACCAGTTCTGCCACTAATAATTGCCTGGTCGTCATCTTGATCACTTAGGGATTCTGCAGCTTCTTGTTTCATACGTAAAAGTCGGAGAATGAAATTTGAGAAAAAAGTTAATGCCTTGAAAGACGAAGGAACTGTTCAATTTCAAGGGACACCTAAATTAAATGTAGGGACCTGGACAGAATTCTGGATAGATTGAGACCTTAGAACAATTGGTGAATCCAAAATATGAGATGTAACGTATCAATATTAAGTTTTCTGAATTGGGACCAGCAGATGGCATAATGGCTGTGTTGCTGGACTCCCATGTGGTTGACCACAGTTCGAGTGCCGGACCCGGTGGCTTAAACTCATGCCAGGCACGTGTGCATGCGTGCCCAAGATCCTGAGAGGAGAATGGAGGAGAAAGGATTGCGGCATGGCCATCCCACCTGGGGGTGATTTCTCACTTTCTGTCTCTTTGTCTCTCTCTGTCTTTCTGGCGAGTGCACGCGCCCTATAGCAAAAACTTCTCCAAAAAAGAAGTTTTCTGAATTTGCTAACTGTATTATAGTCATGTAAAAGAATATCCTACTTACAGGACTGGCAAGTGGCATAGTGGTGGATTCTCAACATGGCTAACCATGGTTGGAGTCCTGAAACTGGCAGCTTGCTTTCTTACTTTACCTTTCTCTCTCTGTCTCTGTCTAGTCAAATAAAAATAATAATAATAATAATGAAAAACGTAAATAAATAAATAAATACATTTTTTAAAATGTGCTGAGAACAAAGACATTTAAAAAAAAAAAGAATATCCTACTCTTAGGAAATGATCCCTGAAACTAACATGTAAAGGTGCAAGATGTATGTGAATTATTCACAAATGGTTCAGAAAATAAAAAATTACATCCAAAAGTAAATATGGAGAAAGAGACAAAGAATAAAAAGCACTCGTGACCGGCCAACCTGTGGCCTAGTGACTAGGGCAATTGGATCCCATGTGGCCCACCAAGCAATTTGAATCCTGGCCCCTGTGGCTTAAAAAATTGTCCAGGGCACATAAGCCTGCATGCCCAGAATCCTGACAGGATGGAAAAACAGTAGAGAAGAGATTGTGGTGTGACCATGCCCCATTGGGAAGTGCTTTCTCCTCCCTCTCTCCTGACTTTCTGTCTCTCTCTAGCGATCACAGTGCCCTCCCCCAAATTACCACTTGGCATACCTAGATAATGGGTATACAAGAATTGCCCTCATGCCCTCCCCTAATTTTTTACTATGAAAATAATTAAGCATACAGAAAAATTTTAAAAATTGTACTGTGAACACCCACCAATAAGATTTTACAATCACCAGCTTAATAAATTTGCTTCATCAAATATTTATCCATATTTTACAGGAGTTCTTTTTACTATTCTTGCAACTTTTATTTATATTTGAAGTTATTTTCAAAAGTAAAAGTTAAATCATTTTGGGCTGGCAGGTGGCATGGTAATTAAAGCTCTGGACTCCAATATGGCTGACTGTGGTTCAAGTGCTGGATCTCGCGGCTTGCTTTCTCACTTTCCTTACCTCTGTGTTTTTCTGATCAAATTAAATAATAGTAATAAATAAAATAATACTTAAAAATAGTTAAAGCATTTAGTATGTAGTAGGAGGAGACAAAAAAATTTTAAGAAGTAAAGGAAGGTTTGGGTGGACAAAAAGAAGAACAAGCTTGTGAAGCAAGATGCCAGATGCAAGCCTTTGGAACTTCTTGAAATAGATGCCTTTAGAGGATTTAGGCTGAGATCAGTGTCTCTCTCGGTTCTCCTCTACAGAGCTCTAAACTTGGCTTCGCGGACGTCTTTTAGTCTTCGTTAAATACCATCATACGTCATTTATAAAGCAGAAAACTACATTTCCCAAAAGCCCTTTATTTTTGCTCAGGGTAAGGAAAACGACAATTTCTACAGGGATTTTTTTTTTTAAGATCTCGCGAGATTTCATTTTAACCTCATTAAGGATCTCAGTCGAAAGCCATTTTGTTTTTCAGGGTTCCTTGGAAGGGTACCTACCTCGAGTTTGCTACAAACTCGGAGCTGCAGTTGCTGCAATTCTATCTTCAGCTTCACGATGTTTCCCCTGGCCAAAAACGCACTGAGTCGTCTCCAAGGTGAGCAAAAGTTGTTGGCAAATCATTTACAATAGCCTTTGTTCATTTGTCCTTGTGGTCTCGTCCTTTGCCTCGGCTCACATCCCAGCTTTCTAATGCTGAATCTTCTCCTACGTTTACTCTAGTCATTGGGAAGATGTCCTTAGCCCTGGCTTTATCACGCGGTGTTTCTGGTTTGGTCCCTAGCCCTCTTTCTGTTATCGGGATCATAGACTAGCCCTGCTTTTTAATTCTTCAGTAAACCATGATTTCCCCGAAGGACACGTTGAACACATCTTTTTCCTTAAGTTATGTTCCAAGTTTTAGTTTTGGGAGAACATTTACTCCTAACCCCACAAAGAAGAACCCCCACCCCCAATTCCTGTAACTGTAGCGGTAGGAAACTAAGTCTAGCTTTTTACCTGGTTTCATTGTTGGGAGAGGACCTAAGTAGTATGCATGTAGCTTCGTAGTTATTTGTGGGTTAACGAATATTAGCTGTCCTTAAAGTAATCACGGTCTTTTCTTTTCTCACCTAAAAGTTGGGTACAGGAAAATTTCGAGAACAGCATTATGTGTTAAGAATGCACTATCCTTATATTTGTTTATTCTGTAAAGGTTACATTGTTTTGGACAGCTTATTTTGAATAAACATCTTGTTCAAAGCAGCAGTTTAAAAAAAATGCACTAGACTGGAAAGAGAAAAATTGATTTCCGTTCTTAAGGTGCACTGAAGGTGACCTTGAGTAAGGAGAGCAGTATTTTCCAATGAAAGTGACCTTAAGCAACTATTACTTTGCTGCTTTTGCCATCTCTTTATTTTCACTTTACAGAATCATTGGTATTACTGGATTGTGTTCTGAACACACTAGCAACTTGGAAAATAAACAAAAAATAGTAGACTGACTGACTTACATATATATACTTTTTAAAGAATTATTTTATTTAACTTTATTTATTTATTTCAATTTGACCAGAGAGAGACAGAGCAAGAAGGAAAGGGAGAAAGCAAGCCACCAGGTCCGGGACTTGAACCACAGTTGGCCATGTGGGAGTCCAGCATCCTTAGCCACCATACCACCTGCCGGCCCCAAATGACTTATATTCTAAAAGCTGCATTTATTTATCTCTTTCACTCAGAGTAAATGATTTACCCTCTCTGAATCTCAGTTTCCTCCTTTGTTCAATAAGGGATTAGTAAATAATACCTACTTCATAGATTTATTAAGGATTATAGAAGATTATCAACGTGTATTGAATAGTTTCTTATCACAGAGAAGAGGTCTGAAGAAACTCGCTTGGATAACCTGAGTGTTGAGTTATAAACTGTTGCAGAGTTGTTTGGTAATTGTAATTTCTCTGCCCTTTTAGCAAGTAGATCATTCTTGTATCTCAAGAAAGGTTTTTTTTTTTTTTTAAGGTGAAATCAACACATTTTAAAACTGTTCTGTTGCAGTATATATTATGAAATGTTTGCAAACTTGTTCATCCCAGGTGGGACTATTTAAACATGAAGATGAAAGCTATGTCAGTCAGTTAGGAGAACCAGTAATGGTCATGTAACTATGGTAAAATAATCCCTAAAATAATTTATACTCTTTTTTTTTTCTTTTTTTGGAGAGATTTTCACTGTAGGGCGCGTGCGCTCGTCAGACAGACAGAGAGAGACATAGAGACAGAAAGCGAGAAATCACCCCCCAGGGGGGATGGTCACGCTGCAATCCCTTCTCCATTCTCCTCTTGGGATCTTGGGCACGCATGCACACGCGCCCGGCGTGAGTTTTAAGCCACCGGGTCCGGGACACGAACCGCAGTCGACTACGTGGGAGTCCAGTGACATAGCCATTACACTAACTGCTGGTTCCCAATAATTTATACTCTTAAGTGTTAGTGAATGCTGTTTTCTTTAACGTGCTTTCCATTACATACATAAGTACCATTTGAAGCTCTTTAGAAATAGGTACCTGTTACTAAAATGGAAAAGAAAGGGGAAAAAAGCTGCTGGAGGTAAGCTTTCCCAAGCCTTCATTTTTAGTTCTTCCAGGGCAGTTTGAAAGCTTGTTTTACCGTTTTTATTAGAGTAGCAGTAAAGTTAGTAGTTTTGTTTGTTTGTTTGTTTGTTTTTGAGAGGTTTTTGCTGTAGGGTGCAAGTGTTAGCCAGAAAGCTAGAAATCACCCCCCAGGGGGGATGGCCATGCCACAGTCCCTTCTCCTCTATTCTTCTCTCTAGATCTTGGGCACGCATGCACAGGAGCCTGGTGTGAGTTTAAGCCACTGGTCTGGGACTCCAACCACGGTCAACTATATGGGAGTCCAGCGACATAGCCATTACGCCAACTGTTGCTCCCATGTAATAAAATTCATTTTAAAGTTGTCTTTCTGTTCAAAAACCTTTACCAGCTTTCCCTGTCTACCCAAACTTTCTCCATCCTTTCTAGTTTTATCCCTTTTTATTTGCTTATACACCTTATCCTTCTACCAAGCTTAATTGGTTTCCAGTATATTAGGCTATTGTCTCTGTTTTCAGAGTCTCCTTTCCCTTATCCACATAATCAAATTCTATCTGCCATTTAAAGTGCTCAGCTAATTCTACTTCCTTATATTATAATGATTTGTTTCTACATGTGTAATATCCTCCTCTACACTGGGAGTAAGTCAAGGACAGTATCTTTGTCTTAAACATATTCTTTTCTTTTAAAAAATTTTTTTTAAATTATTTAATTTATTATTATTTCATTTGACCAGAGAGATACAGAGAAAGTGAGCTGCCAGGTCCAGGACTCTAACTGAGGTTGGCCATGTGTGAGTCCAGAGCCTTAACCACTATATCACTTGCCAGCCCGTGCACTTCATTTCTTTTAGCACAGTGTCATCTTTACTAGTAATTCTTTAAAAACCAAGATTATCCTAGTTTTTGAAGGTTTTTTTTTTTGTTGTAGTAATTTTAAATTCATAAACATTTAGTGTGCTTTAATTTGAGGTTAGTTTTCAGTTTTTTTGCCCTTATGTGTTAACTTGTTGAGTGCTCTTGAATATTGGTTAGTGAAAATTGAGGTCATAAATAATTCAAACTAATAAATAGCCAAGTTCAGAGGTTATATAAATAACACTTGGTAGTGAATGTTACTGACATCACCTGTTCCTTGTTTTCCACCAACATTTTATTATGAAAAGTTTCAGACTACAGAAAAAGCTGGAGGAAATAAAGTAAACACCCACCCACATTCAACAGCATTTCGCTGTGTTTGTTTTATTACATATGTATCCATCTATAAATTCACCTTATTTTTGTTACATTTCAACCATATGGATTCAGTAGCTAATATTTTGCTTATTTTATTACATATCCATCTTTCAATTCATCTTCCTAATTTTGTTGCATTTCAAAGTGTGCTGCTTTACTTTTAGGTACAATGTTTTACCTTTCTGTTGAAGTACTTGATATTGTAAAGTTAACTTTCTTGGCTTTCCTAATTTGCAGGATCAATCTCATGTGTTTTATTTTCCTGATAACTGATAGATATCCTTCCGTATTCTTTTTTTTCCCCTATAAGTTCGAAGCGTTCAGCAAACAATGACAAGGCTGATCCAGCAGAAACGGACACCTGATTTTCATGACAAATATGGTAATGCTGTATTAGCTAGTGGAGCCACTTTCTGTATTGCTGTGTGGACATATGTAAGTACTGTTGATTAATAATTGCTATTTTAGGTGTTTTTCAGTTAGTCTATGTATTCAAAATGTTTTAGCACAGTAGTACAGGTTGAGCACTCCTAGAATACTTGAAACTTGAAATGCTCCTAATGACATGTGGATAATTCCCCACTTTATTTTATGTGGCAAGTTGTAGTCAAAATGCCATATTATAAAAATGTATAAAATTACCTTCAGGTATGTGTATAAAGAATATTTGAAACATAAATCAATGTCATGTTTAAACTTAGGTCCCATCCCCAAGTTACCTCATATATGCAAGCATCCAAAATCTTTTTTTTTTTTTGAGAT